GCAGTTCCTAAGGTCTTGCATGACCTTCTAGTCCCCGCACCCCCATCTCCAGTGATTAAAACTCACTTAATTTATTTCAATTTCTCCATGTTTTATCTTGTTTTCTGGTCTGTACACATTTTCACTCCCACCTTCCCACCTCCCCACTCTCCATTTCCCATCTCAGCATTTGGAGCAATTCTCTCTCTCTCTCTCTCTCTCTCTCTCTCTCCACTGCTCCCTCTGGGTTCCATGAAACATCCACGTAATTCACCCAAGCATCCTCTGGCAAGTAGTAAGTGCTCAACTCACATTTGTTGAGTGAGCTTGTAAAGGCACCTCTCCTCCGGGTAGCTCTCTCTCTGACTCCACTTCTATGAATTTCTCTGGCACTTAACCAAACTCATCCCTCCGTACCTAACGAAAACATTTTGCGCTGACTTTTTTGATTTTCTAGAAGTGTTCAATTCGGTGAGATTTAACGAATTTATACCTGCCACATGGCCGGCACCGGACTGACTAACTGCAGGGCGATCAAAGATCCCCTTAATCTTCCTTGTAGAGAGGGAGCACTCTGTGGACGGGGGTGGGGGGGGGAAGGGGGGACACCAAGCCCTGGCCGTCTGCAAACTTCCCAGGCGGCACAGCCCAAGAGCCTGGTGAAGGGGCATAGTAAAATGCTTGGCTTTTTTAGCTTCAACCTTTGACTCTTACAAGCTCTGTGACTTTGAGTAAGCCACTCCACAGATCTGAACTTATTTCCTCATTGTGATAAAGACCTAGACTCACCTAGTCTAACCTGTCAGCCGGTGTCAGTTGTCAAAGCCACCATTGACCCCAGAGCAGATATTTCAGTTGTGTTGGCTGTGGGGTGTGAGAAGCATGATGTTAATTGCTCCACCAGTTATAAAATGAGTTCTGATGTCATTAACATAAAAAGGAGCAAAGGTGCTTCTTTGAATCAAGGCAGTCTGATGTCTATGGAAGTGTTCAGGTGTTCTGAAGATGGAGAACCGTTATGGAACTGTGAGCTCTCATTATGGCGGAAACTCAAGTAGAGATTCCGAGTTAATAGCTGAGCTGACTTTTTCTTTCTTGCTCAGCCTTATCTGTGAAGGACTTGCTCTGATTGTTATCGACAATTTCAAACATAGGTAAAAGTGAGAACCATGAGCTCCCATGTACCCATTGTCCAGACTCAACAAAAATCAATACAAGAGCATTCTTGTTTCATCTTTATTCCTAGGCGGTTCCCCACATCAGAGCATTTGCACATACTTTAAAGGAGTATTACTTTATAGCCATTTACCTCGCACTGTCTTCTAATCAGAGATACAATAATCTTTCCTGGAGGTGTGTGCAAGCTTAGTGTGCATTGTATATTTTTCCAGAAAGGTTTATATTAACCCAGTTGAGACACACACATCTCCTTGAGAAGGCCCTTAGCCAATGGTAGTTGCTCAGGGTGGGAAATGGAAATTTTGTTGGTTCCTATATATATGAATATCTGCCAGTTTTATTTTATTTATTTTAAAATTCTATTTATTTATTTGAGATAGAGAGAGCGTGAGAGAGAGAACAAGCAGGGCAGGAGTAGAGGCAGAGGGAGAAGCAGACTCCTCACTGAGCAGGGAGCCCAATGAGGGACTCGATCCCAGGACTCTGGGATTATGACCTGGGCCGAAGGCAAATGCTTAACCAGCTGAACCACCCAGGCGCCCCTATCTTCTGCTTTTAAAACCCGTTCTCCACGTAGTATGCAAAATCAGAAACTGACTTGGGTAAGTTTATGCGTTTATTTGTTTTTTGATAGCTTGCTGATTTCTTTTTTTTTTTTCTCCATGGGTTTAATTATTATATGATATGGATCCAACAACTGTGTGTTAGATCATTATAGGCATTAGTATTTTGGGCAGATTTTTAAATTCAGAGTGTACTTTCTCACCAGAATGCACTAACTACAAAGTATACTATAAGGATATGAACATGTGCCTATGAACTAAAAATGAAAGTCTATGTTTAATTTTCTAAAATAACTTTGTTACTCTGTATCTATTACATTTTGCAACTGTGTTCAGGTGCAGTAGGGATGCTTTGAAAAACCATTTTACTCTTTCTAATAGATTTCAGTTTTCAGTGCTAGTTGTAACGCCCAAATGAGGTTATCTATAAATATTTACTTAGATGTAGCTACAGTTCATCTTACTTATAGTAACAATCAGTTTGATATGGTTTTTTTTTTTTTTAAGATTTTATTTATTTATTTGAGAGGGAGAGAATGAGGGAGCGAGAGAGGCACGAGAGGGGTAAGGTCAGAGGGAGACACAGACTCCCCTCCAAGCAGGGAGCCCAAAGCTGGACTCCAGGATCATGACCTGAGCTAAAGGCAGTTGCTTAACCAACTGAGCCACCCAGGAGCCCTCGTGTGGTGGTTTTGAATCAAGACAGTATAAGGAGGGATGCCTGGGTGGCTCAGTCGGTTAGGCATCTGCCTTTGGCTCAGATCATGATCCCAGGGTTCTGGGATTGAGTCCTGCATCGGCCTCCTTGCTCAGCAGGGAGCCTGCTTCTCCCTCTGCCTGCCACTCTGCCTGCTTGTGCTCTCTCTCTCTATAATAAATACAATCTTTAAAAGAAAAAATAGAAAGCAGGAGTTTGTGAATATCTAAGAAAAAAATTAGGAAAAAAGGGATCGGGGCAAGGGTTAGCCCTGTGATGGGTATTAAGGAGGGCACAGATTGCATGGAGTACTGGGTATTATACACAAACAAGAAATCATGGAACGCTACATCAAAAACCAATGATGGACTGTATGGTGACCAACATAACATTAAAAGAAAAACCTATTAAAAAACAAACAAAACGGTATGACCTTAAAATCCTAGAAGTTAAAGGGCAGTTTCACGGAGGAAAAGTTTGCAGCATGGGAGGGGTGAGTGGATTTTAGTCAATAAGCATGCATTTCAGAATTCGAAGTGCATTCTCTAAGCTGGCACCAGGACTGCATTGGGCAGGAGGACATTTGCTACTGGCTGGGTTACGCAGCTTTATAAACTGTGCTCCTTGGAGTTCTCTGCTTGCTATTCTGAAAGATATTTGAGTTTTGCACCCAAGATGATCTCCAAAACCAACCAGTCCTTTTTAGGTATCAAGATGGGAGATTCATTTGAATCCATGCCTTCAGAGATGCGGGAGCCAATCAGGAAAAACATGGATTCTTTTATTAAAATCCCAGCTTCCTCTACACGATGCCAAGCAGCACTGAATTACGGGACTGCCATACAGCCTTTCCTTTATTCTTTCCATCACCCCAGGCCATGGGGAAAAAAATATATCTTTTGTCCTTATTTTCACAAGTTACCACATGGTTTGGAACCTGCAGGGCTATTTCTGAAACTCCATTGGTGCGTGCCAGAAAAATCCCCTTTAACACACACAGTTGAATGGAACATAGTTTTGAGATGTTAATTCCTATTTATTGCATAAAAAAGATATTTAACACACAAAGGAAATGTCTAACTTAGAGCAAGTTCCAATTTTTGAGACAAACATCAGGGAGCCTGAGGCCACATGCTTTAAAACCAATCCGTTAGCAAATGTTTACTGAACACCTATTTTGCACAAGTTTCTGTTGAGGAGGTTTAAAAGTCTGAGATAAAGTCCTGTCCTCAAATTGCCCACAGCCTAGTTAGTTGGACCGACAACCCCAAACCCAGGAACCAATGCAGTAAAACCAGTCAAATACACAAGCAGTGAAAGAATGCGCAGTATGGTTTGGGCTTACAGAGTATTTCAAGCAATATACTCTGATGGTTTTGAATACGGGGATCACAGTGCCCTGAGATCCCCTGAAAATCTTCATACATTGGGCTCGATTGAAAACACAGGCAAAAATCAAATAGCATTCACGGGGTGGGGAAAGCAAATAGTCTCAGAGAGAGTCAGTTTGTAGGAGTGGGGGTGGGAGAGGTTAGAAACGTAGCAAGGGCCCCACTGGGACACGCCTGGCGGAGAGGCTGAAGATGACTCTTGCGGATCCAAGATGGGCAGCAGTGATTAGAAGTAGGGAATCCCCCTTCCTTTCCTCCTTCCCCTCTTTCGTCCTTTAAAAAAAGAACCTGATTCGATAGAGCCATTCCCAGCGGCCAGGAGAGAAGGCAGCAACTGAGGCGCTCCCAAGTGTTCCTGGGGCGGGGCGGGGGGGGGGTCTGGGAAAGTCGAAGGAGCGGGGCCAGGTAGGACCAGAGCTACCAGCGGCCCTACTCCGGCTTCTGGGAACACGGCTCAGCGAGCTCTCCGACTGCGCTCCTGGGGTTAAAGGAGATGCCGCCGCGAGTGAAAGGCTTTTCCCAAAGCGCTCCCGCAATTCCAAGGTCTCGAGATTGCCAACACCGGCTGCGGGGCGCCGGCTGCGCGCAGAAAAAAGTCCTTCTCCCCGTATGGTTAGTGTCTCCAGGTCTCGTCTAGCTCCTGCTCACCAGAAATAGAAAATTAATCACGCCGATGAAAAGATAGCACGTCCCGGGGAGGGCTGAGAAGGGAAAGTGCGGAGAAGGGTCCCAGACAGAACGAGCTTCCGCGCGGACGGGCCTGCGGAATCTGCGGGCATCTGCAGTCTCCCATCCTCGCGCTCCCTCGGGCCGCCGGGAGGTGGGGACGCGGCCCCGGGAAGCCCGGGCGCACCCGGCTCGCCTCCGTCGCAGCCAGCAGATGGCTCCCGGGCTCGCGCTCCCTCGCTCCCTCACCCCCTCTCCAGACGCAGGGCCGGGGCGGCGGCGGAGGGAGGTTGCGAGGAGGGGCGCCCGCCTGCCCGCCGCCGCAGCCCCCCTCCCCGGGTGCGCCCCGCGGTGCGCGGGAGGCCGGCCGGGGACCCGTGCGGAGGCCGGCTCTCGCGAGGTGAGGAGGAGCGCAGGAGGCGGCGGAGGAGGAGACGCAGGAGGAGCAGGAGGAGGAGACGCAGGAGGAGTGGAGGAGGAGGAGGCGGAGGAGGGCCCGAGCTGCCCCCGCCCAACCTCAGCCCGGCAGGGGCGCGAGGAAACCCTCGCCCCGCCGCGCCGCTCTCCCCGCCCTCTGCGCTCGCCTTCCGCCTTCACCTAGGGCCGTAGGTGCGGCGCGGCGCGGGGCGGCGGGAGGTGGCCGCGGCCGGAGCAGCGCCGCCGGGAGCCGGGAGCCCGAGCCGCCGCCGCCGGAATCCCCGGGTCTCCGCGCCGCCGCCGGGAACTGCGCCGAGGCGACATGTAGCAGCGGCCGCAGCCGACTCACCTCCTATTTGCAACTCTTTTTTTTTTTTTTTGGAGGGGCGGGGGGCGAGGCAAAATTGTATCTCCGCCCTCGCTTTCTTGCCTCCTCCCGGGCGCAAGCCGCATCTGCCTCTAAAAACTGAGGGGCTCGGGGACGGGCGGGGGGCCGTAAATCAGAGTTGGACCGGCACTGCCCCCGCGCCTGGAGGGCCACCATGACCGAGGAGAGCTCCGAGGTTCCCAGGGAGCTGACAGGTAAGAGTGGTGCGGCCGCGGGCTCGCCGCCTGCCCCGGCGCACCCCTCCCCGCCGCCCCCCTGCCCTCCTCCGCCTTCCCGCAGGTCCCGCGAAGTCGCGGCGCCCCTCAGGTCGCCGCGGTGCTGGGCGGGGCGCCGGGAACTTTGCTCGCGTCTCGCCGCTCGGAAAGCCCAGTTCGGGGAGGGCGGCCGTGGGGGGCAGCGGGGGCCCGGGAGTCCCGGGCTCCTCCCCAGCCGCGACGGGGGTGGGGGCGGTCGCGGTGGGCGGAAGAGGGGGGCGGGCTGCCTCGGACTTGGGAGCTCTGGCGACGAGGAGCAACCTTTGCAGAGACCAGCCCCCTGCCCCAAACTCGGGGAAGTCCGGGAAAGGCCCGCGCAGGGCCGTGGGGAGGGGGTGGCGAGCGCACAGTGGGTCGTCTCCGGCACCTGCCGGGCACTCCCCCCACCCTCGGGCGAGGTGCTCCTCCCACACGCAGACTCAGGGGAGGGGGCGCTAGTCGCGAGTGCGGACTGAGCCGGGCAAGGCGTGGCTTCGCCCAGCCCGCCGGGAGCGAAAGGGTTACCGAAGTGACGCACGCTCCAGCCGGCAAACTGAGGGTTAATGGTATGAGTTATTTTAATAATAATTAACCTACCGATTCTCCCCATCCCGAATCTCGGGGAACCTGTGTGCAGTACCCTATGCAAGGTGACCCGTTGTTTGAGCCCCTTGAGGTTTTTTTGCTTTTCGTTTGTTTGTTTTGGTGTGTGTTGGGGGGCAGGGGGGTTTTGTGTCTTGGGGTTTAACTTAATTGCGCGTTGGGTTAAAATGGCAGAGTTAAAATGAGGTGGGGAGGAGCGTTCTGAAAACCCAGCGTTTAAGCATGTGTGTATGTATAGCACATTGTGTTTTAACAAGGTGTGTGTGTCTGCGCGCGCGTTTTGAGCCCTAGGGACCTGTATTCCTTCCTCTCCCATCCTTGGCACACTGCGCAGAAAGGTGCTGTTTAATCCGGGCTGACAGCGAGAGGAAGTTCTGCCTGCCCATTCATCTGCTCTTGAGAAATTTGCCCCTCGGTTTCTGTGTGCTCTTCCATTAGTGACCTAACTGAGCAGGTGACACTTGATGTGAAGAAGCTGTTGCTAGGTTTCTACGAAAGCTTCAGCTTTTGTGAAGTTAAACAACAACAACAACAACAAACCACCACCACCACCAACACACCAAAAACCCAATCCTAACTTTTCACCCAAATTTAGGATATGAAGTTACCAGTCCCTTCCCCCACTCTGGCCTCTTCTCTCTCCCCAACCCTGGGGAGTAGGCTCCTGAGATAAAGCATCAGCTGCCTTTACTGGAGTGAGTGGCCCATCCGGTTCTGGGAGGCTGAGATCTTCCCAGCACTCTACCCGGAAGCGGAAACGAACGCCCAGAGTCTGCAGATCCCTGCGGAGGTCCTGAGAAGGTCTGAGGGGGGAGGGCTGGCCTCCCTGGCCAGGGGATAAGGATAGCCAAAGAGGTGGGCGGCTTTTTAACTTAGGTGACCTTGAGCTTGGTAATGAAAAGTTTAGGTAGTTACTCAGCCTAAAGAGAGAGGGAAGGGCTGGGAATAAGATACCTGGTGTATGTGAATGGTTCTCAAAATAAATCCTCTGGTATGTTTGAGAATTAGATTTCATCCTTCTCTAGGAATTTGTGTGTTTGAGTCTTGCGCGGTTCATATCCTTCAACGAGGTGACGCGTGTTTTTGTGACATGCCCGGTCTGATTTTTCTGGGCCTTTAAATGGTCTAATTAGTCTGGGACCAGGGAAATTCCTGCACCTGCTCCTCTCTCATTTCAGGTGTTCATAGAGTTACACTTAGATCAGTTCAAAATGGCAACCGTGGGAAAACCTCGGTGTATTCCCTTAAGCTAATCACCGAAGACAGTAAGAGAATGCAATTTGTATCTCTCTGATAATAAAAGAAATACAGGCTTTTTTTTTTTTTAAAGATTTTATTTATTTATTTGACAGACAGAGATCCCAAGTAGGCAGAGAGGCAGGCAGAGAGAGGAGGAAGCAGGCTCCCCGCTGAGCAGAGAGCCCGATGCGGGGCTCCATCCCAGGACCCTGGGATCATCACCTGAGCCGAAGGCAGAGGCTTTAATCCACTGAGCCACCCAGGCACCCCGAAATACAGGCTTTTTATAAAAAAGTTTAAATGCTAAGAAGAAGGAAAAGACTATCTGTCAGCTGTGTTACCACTCCAAGATAGCTACTTTTAACCTTTTGGTGTTTAACTTTCCCATCCCTTTCCATGTGGGTATGTTCTCCCCCCCGCCACAAATTTATTTATTCTAGAGAAAGAGAAAGAGCACAAGGGGGAGAGGCAGAAGGAGAGGGGGAAAGAATACCGAGCAGACTCCACACCTACTGTGGATCCTGACATGGGCTGGTCTCCGCCACCCGAGATCACAACCCCACCAGAGCCAAAACCCAGAGTAGGGGCGTTCAGCTGACTGCACCATCCAGGCGCCCCGCTTAAGTCCGTTTCTGATGTGACTTTCCCACATGTCTTTTTAGGGGAGGGAGGAGTAGCCTTTATTTGTTTTGAGCTCTTGATAGAGAACTCCTAGCGCAGTGAGGTCCCCCCTATCCCCTTTTCTCCCCAAAGTCCCACCTGGTTGCTGGTTCTGACATGCCCTCCCCGCCCCCAAGCTGCACTTTTTCCTGTTTCCATTCTCTTCTCCATGTGGGCGAAGCGCTTCCTTCCTCACTCTTCTCTACCTCCGCAGCTCTAAACTTTTGTGGTGGGTTTGATTACCCCTTCATAAACATTTTTATGTACTTAAATGCATACATACTTCATTTAGCATGGATAATTTAAAACAGAAACTAGAGTACATTGCAAATAGAAGTAAAAATTCTATTTTCTTTCCGCAGCTCAGTGGACGGCATTGCACACTATACTTTGGACTTTGGACTAGTGGTCTGTGTCCCACTCCTTTAAGATTCTGCTCAGGGGTCCCCTTCTCCCTGAAACTTTCGGGAATTTCCTTGTCCATGATCTCATGCTAGTGTGTGCGGATTTGCCTAGAGCTATTTGTCCAAGTTGTCTAGACTGTAAGCACCTGTGGGAGGCAGGGGCTCTCTGTGTCCCTGGGTCTGGTTGAACACTTGGCAAACAGGAGCTCTTCCTGTGTCCGTGTATTTCTTGAATATATGAATAAGCCAAGATGATTATAATATAGAATACAGAGCTTTGGGAGTATAGAGGAGGTTGCTATATATATATATTTTTTTTTTTTTGAAGATTTTATTTATTTGACAGAGCAAGAGTAGGAAAGAGAGGGAGCACAAGCAGGGGGAACAGCGGAGAGAGAAGGAGAAGCAGGCTCCCCACTGAGCAGAAAGCCCGATGCGGGGCTGGATCCCAGGACCCTGGGATCACAACCCGAGCCAAAGGCAGACATTTAACCCACCAAGTCACCCAGGCTCCCGAGGTTGCTATATTTTGTAGTAGAACGTAACCAGGAGACTAGTGAAAGGGCATCCCAGGAAAGAGAACAGTACACACAGAATCCTGGGGGTGCACAAGCTGGAGATGATAGGGATGATTGGATTGTTAAGTGTGTGTGCTGAGAAGTTAAACTGAAAAAAATATGGAAGACCTTGAGTGGTCTGCTACAGGGTTGGGCTTTATCCAAAAATGACAGCAGCTCAAAGAGCGAGAGCGATGTGATCAGACCTGTGGCTTTCTGGAGGGTCCCTTTGGTGAGGAGGGGACAGAGAGCTGATAGGTGGGACATCATGAACTTGTCTTAAGAGATTCTGAGTCCTTGAATGCCGGGTCAAGCCCGGGGGTCGGGAGCTGTTTAGGAGGTGGTTCTAGGAGAGTGGGTGACTGGCTTCCTGTCTGCTAGAAAACAAAATTTCCAGCTTCATTAGTGGCCACAGGAGTGGGAGAATGAGTCTGATTTGAGACCTGTTCCATTTGGAGCACTCAATGCGGTTGTTCCTGCCACCAACCAGATTTTGAAGTCTCCCCTGCTTCGCTCTTGACTCCTGCTTTCTCGTCGCCTTTGACTGCTCTTTGGGGGTATCATGCTGTGATGCTTCCAGAAGACAGATGGCCAGGATCACCCTTCCCAGGCTAGATTGTCCAGTCTGGTTCTGGTTCTTTGCCATATTCCCCAACTGTGATGTCAGGCACCTAGAAATGGTGCTGTTTCTTGGCCACTGTGATGGGCACAGAGGCTCCTGGGGGCCAGAGGTAACCAGCCAAAGGAGGTTACGAATTCTATTGTGCTTGTGGTCTGCGTGCAGCACAACACTCTGTGGTACCGTCTGACGTGGCTTGTGTTTTTTCTCGTATGTGCGTCTGTTTGCCCAGCGGGATTACGTCATGCCTTGTGTGAACTGGTATCGTGTCACAGGCTTTTATATTTGCCTCTGCATCTGAGAGCACAAGACAACACGCGTAGTAGGTGTTCATTGACTATGTGACCGATAACGGTCAGGCTTGTTAAAACAAGCTAAAAAAAAAAAAAAAAAAAAAAAAAAAGACAAGTCACAATGATAAAAACAACCCAGAATACTCCTTCACATGTTCTCCCCTCTCCAGTGCTTTTTTTCTTATTAATAAAGGAATATAATGAAACTCTTCCCTTCTTTCAGAAAGCATAAAGGATGTTATTGGCAGAAAGATAAAAATTGCAGTGACGAAGAAAGTAAAGTTGGAAGTCAAGGGAGACAAAGTTGAAAACAAAGTGCTGGTAAGTATTCTCGTTTCTTAAAATGTTTGGAAGTGAAAGTGTTTTTCCTCTTCATTGTTTTGATTGCTTCATTTCCATGCAACTCAAGTGCTGTGTTTCGTATTTTGCTGGAAAGTTCCAAGGACCGTTTTGTCCTGGATTAACTGGAATGTCTGCCCACTGAAAGGTAACAGTAGGATATTTACATTTTCGAGATTGAAGTTATGTCTTAAAATTGTCCCAGTCATCCACACTGAGGTCCTCTCCTACAGCCGGTTTTCAGAGTATTCAATTTTGATATGAAATGGACTTTATAGTTACCCTTGCTATGGCTGACTGTACGATTTCATTTGTGAGGACTTAGGGAGAAGGTTAAAGAATTCATCTCCTGTTGGTTTAACTGTGTAACTAAATGTTCTCAGATGTTACATCTGAGTCCGCCTCTAGGGGAAAAAGATACCTGTGGTTTCACGGGGACATTTGGTGTTTTAAAGGGAAATGCCTGGTGCAGGCAGTATCTGCTAGTGTTGACATCGGACTTGGGGTCCTCCCAGCATGTGGGGGAGCTGCCGGGGGCCCAGGAGTTGGACCATGTTGGGCGCAGAGTTGGGGAGGCCATTTTAGTGACTGGACTGGAGCTTTAGAGAGGCGAAGAGCCCTTTGTGGTGTTTTATTGGTTTCTCGGTTGAGGTTGTGGCAAACCTAGGTTTAGTCTTGGGGGAATACATGCTGTTTATGTTTTCAAGTTGGAAAGAATATTCTCTTTATCTTTTTATCACTGGAAATTTTCAAGCATATGCAGAAGTAGAGATTAGCGTACTGAACCCCGTGTCTGTTCATCTAGCTTCAAAAGGCTTTCGTGTTTCACTGATATTGTTGGTCTCCCCACAGCACCCCGCCCCCGGGTATTTTAAAACACCTTCCGAGCACCTGTCATTGAAAGAGAATCTTTTGAGTTTTCTGTTTCTTCCGTTGAATTTGCTGCAGAATCGCAAGTATCTTTCTGATAACATCTGTCTTGAGAATCTTTTAGAATATCTGGCTGCCTTCCCCCGTAGATGGAAGGATTATGCCGTTGGTGGCCAGCGTCTCTGTGGTCTGTGTGTCCAAGGCAGGACGGCAGAGGACTTGAAGTGGAGAAACTTGATGGAGGGGCTTTGGCCCGGCGACAGAGTGTGTTCATGTAGCCTGTCTTGTTAGGGTGACCAAGAGCAGAAGCAATGGGGGCCATCATTCTGATTTATTTTGCTTTACTAAAGAGTGAATTTCCTTAGCATATATGTTACTTAATGTTATAGGATAGTGGTATCTTGGGGAGGTGGCAGTGGAGAGAGAAGACTTTTGTTTCTGCTGTTTAAAGCCAGTCTTTACATGGATGGATCCACTTTTGTCCAACTCAGTTGTCATTGTCAAGCAGCGTTTGCTACAACGGTCTGACCCGGTGCATGGTATTATTTGGTATGGACCCTCTTCATCGTGCTAGGAATGAGCCCATGTTATGAGTGAAATCTATAACGTGAAAATAACAAAGACAAATTTAAATGTCCAGTATAACAAAATTAGCACCATTTACAAATACTTACGATTAGTTCTTAATGTTAAGGACTGCCCTGTATGCCCCCATCCCCCTAACGCCCCACACATCTCAACATAAGCTGGAGTTAAGGTTGTCCCCAAATTATCCACATCTTTGCACGTAAGCATTTATTTCCCCAAATCTGGAACCTAAGTGGTTTCTGGTCATTTTGGCATAAACTTGTTTTTGGCTGTTCCTTATATGCATGGACAGGAATTATTAATTGAAATACTCCGAGTCTGACAATCTTTTTTCTTTCTTTTTTTTTTTTGTAAAGATTTTATTTATTTATTTGGCAGACAGATCACAAGTAGGTAAAGAGGCAGGCAGAGAGAGAGAGAGGAGGAAGCAGGATCCCCGCTGAGCAGAGAGCTCAATGTGGGGCTCAATCCCAGGACCCTGGGATCATGACCTGAGCGGAAGGCAGAGGCTTAACCCACTGAGCCACCCAGGTGCCCCAGAGTCTGACAATCTTAATAGAAATATTCAGGTCGGAGCAAGGTGGTCAGTGACAAACTGACCTTCACGTTGTGATTTTGGAGTTTCTGGATCGAGAGAAATTGTTACTGAAATGAAAACACTGGGGTAATCTCTTTATAATGTTCACTTCTGACTTTCTTTGGCTGTCAGTCCACTAAATCGGTCATAAATGAATTGGGCTTAGTACCTTCAGTGTATCTTGTTGGAATTTTACTTCCTTTCCCACAGTGCCTGTTCTTACCGTCCTTCCTTCTCCTAAGGCTGGGAGTGTCTGTTTTTTGTCCTTTCGTTCCTTCTTTTTACAGTTGGAGACTTGATACGATTTGTAGCTTATCTTTTGTGGAGGGTTTATCTTCATCTTCCTCTTTCTCATGGTCATAATAGCTAATAGTTATTGGACATTGACCGAGGGCTAGGCTCTCTGCTCAGCATTTAATTAGCTTAACACTTAATTAGTTCAGTCCCGCAGCGACTCTGTGTACATCTCTGCTCAGATTGTGACAGGCCAGATACGCTGCTTCAGGTCATTTACTAGTTAATGACAGAGCTGGAATTTGAACCCAGATCTGCCTCACTCAGAGCATATCGGTTTCACCATTATTTTTTTTTAAAGATTTTATTTACTTATTTGAGAGAGAGAGAGAGCTCAAGAGTTGGGGGAGGGGCTGAGGGAGAGGGAGAAGCAGACTCCCCGCTGAGCAGAGAGCCTGACACTGGGCTCCATCCCAGGACCCTGGGATCATGACCTGAGCCGGAGGCAGACGCTTAACGACTGAGCCGCCCGGATGTCCCTGCTTCATCATTATTCTCAAAATAAAGAAAATGTCCTTTGGCTTGTTGTTCACTCTTTCATTCAATGATCAGGAAGATTGGGCCTTGCGAGGATCAGGAATCCTCGTGTTTATTTGGTGGATTGATGGACTTACCCACAATTTCCAGCCTGACCGAGCACGTCCTGGGCGCCATGCCGAGTGCAGGTATGAGACTTCACGTATCCAGAGCCCGCAGTCTCGCTGGGGAGGGAGACATGTCAGGGGGCCGTGCTCTCAGCCGGGCTGTGAGCAGGACGACTGGGGGGCTGTCATCACAGCATGTCCCAGACTCAGACTCAGGCTGGCGCATCAGGGAAGAGTCCTAGAAGGAAGGGAACCCTAAGCTGACACCGGGAGGCTGAGTGGGAGTTGCCAAGGGGAGGGGAGAGAGTAGAGATGCGTTTTGGACCAAGGGAACAAAACAAGCCTGGAAGCCGGGCCGGGTTTCCGTGTTAGAGAAGCAGAAGCCACTGCAGAAGCAGGACTGGAGCAGGTGCCGTGTGGAGAGACCAGGCACAGCGGGGATGCCCTTCCTTGCCATTGGGGTATTAGGTGCGACAGGGACTGGTTCAAGGGGTCTCACCACCTGTTTCTGATAACCTGGACGTAAACTTTATCCTGGACACCAGGGACGCAGCAGGGCTCAGGTGAGGGAGCTGGGCCCTGCAGTCACAGTGCAGCCCAGCTGCTTTATAACACTGTGAAGCTTCCGTTCCTTTCTCTAATGGGACAGGTGTGCAACAGGAGCTGTTTGTTCCCGGCTGCCGTGAAGATTAACAAGGCTACATTTTAACACGCTTGGTGCAGGGCCCAGCACAAGATAAACTGCCAGCAAATGATAAAGCAAGAGGGACCCAGACACCCTGCCTTGTTTCCTCAGTGGCACCGAAAATGCTGCTCCTGATGCCTAAGCATCTCCTACCTTTATCGAGTGGTTGGGCCTAGTTCACCGTAAGGCCAAGGGGAATATTTATAGCTCCGTCTCCTTTTCAGCAGGATAGAGTGCAACTGATCAGATCCAAAATTCTGCAGGTAGGGCTCTGGTCCCATGGGATCAGGAATGCTAGGATGTGCGGGGGACGGAGAGGTCTGTGGTCACATACGTTTGGCAATCAGGGTGTTAGAGATAAACGAGTGTCTTTACCACCTGGCTTTTCGGAGCCGTTACTGCATCTGTGGGCATGGGTGATTCTTAAGCGTGTGCTGTCTTTCTCGATCTTATTTGGTCAGAGACCCTAATGACTATAGGTTAGGAAACCAGGGGGGGAACAGACCTGAGCTGGAGCCTCTGGGGACAATTAAAGGGAAGATAGAAGAGGTTGGAACAGGCTGTCCATCCTTAGGATGGCTCTCCTAGGGTATGGTCCCCGGGTGCTGGACTTTTTATCTAAGCGGCAGGCAGGTTCACAGAAGATAATGTCGTCTGTTTCTCTAATACCCTCTCTCTTGTCTGTAGGGCATGTCATCGGGAAGTGATGCTGTCTTTGACTCTTACTCCATTTTCTCATTTGCTCGTTGAATCTTTAGCCAATTTTTGTAGTTCCTGGACTTTATTTTTATTTATTTATTGAAAGATTTTGTTTATGTGAGAGAGAGTGAATGAGCGTGAGTACAAGCTGGGGGAGCATCAGAGAGAGAGGGAGAAGTAGACTCCCCACTGAGCAGAGAGCCCCATGCGGGGCTGGATCCCAGGACCCTGGGATCATGACCTGAGCTAAAGACAGATGCTTAACCGACTGAGCCACCCAGGTGGCCCGGTACCTGGACTTTTAAAACTGTTTTAATTAGTGCATTTTTTAAATCAAGCTTTTCAGTTTGGGATCACTGTATAGATTCACAAGCGGTTGTAAAAAGTCACACGGATAAAGTACCCTTTATCCAGCTTCTCCTGTCTTGCAAAATCAGCGTGTGATACCACATTCAGGATTCTGCCATTGATGCTGTACGATGCTGAACATTCCCACCATCGCAAGGATTCCTCCTCCTGCCTCTCTGGGCCACACCCATGTAACCCCTTTTCGGACCCCTGGGGGCTGCTAATGTGTTCTGCGTTTTTAAAATGTTGTTCCTTCAGAAAATGTTATGTAAATGTAATCACGCAGTATATATATGCCTTTTGGGTTTTTTTTGTTTTTTTGTTTTTTTCCCCACCT